CTGTTCTCATTGACCGGTTAGGAAGGAGAGGAGAGAAGAAAGAGACAAGCTGCTGAGGAGGGGTCTGGACTAACTAGGCTTCAGAGGGAGGCCTCAGCTATGAGCTTCAATGGGAATGAGGCTCAGCTGGGCTACGTTTCAGCGCTGGACGAAAGAACGAGAATGAGAGAGCCTCGGAGGGCCGGATTGGGGGGGAAGGGGAGGTTGATGGGCTGGATTGGCGAAATGAGTGATTCGTTTCCATTCCATTCAATGAGCCGATGGAGAGAGAGAGACAGATTTCGAAATTGTTAGCCAACGAATCCTTGGACAGTGGTCCGCGCTTCCGTTGCTAAGTGACTCTTCGGTGTTGGCCTGTCAAAGTCGGCCACTTCAGTCCACTTGACCGGCGCTTTTAGAACTCATTTCCAGGACCGCCAGTCCATTGGCCTTGATGAATCAAGCATCTCTGTTCCCTCACATATTTCCTCGTCCCTCACTGCAGTCATCGAAATAAATCACCGTGTCTTTTGCTTATGTTACATTATCAAAGGTTAAACAACGATGGTAGGTTCCAAGGGGGTCGCAAATGTGACAGCGGTTTTTCTACCTCGTTTTACAGTCACCCAAAAAGATCGACCACACGTGGCCAAGTTTAGCGTGAGTTACATATGACATAGTTTGATGAGCTGTTTTTTTCATCGTAGCACTATACCTTTGCGTAATGAACACGTTTAGCAACTATCTAAGATTGTTGACGAGACCTGTTGGTCAGTTTATTCACGATCCTGGCATTTTGTTTCGCTGCTTTATTTCCGGATCTTCCAGGAAGAAATGCTGGATGCATCGCATTCACCCCCCCTCCCTCCTTTTCCCTCCTCCGCCCCTCCCCCTCCCCACTTTCCGTATTATATTTGGCGCCTTACTTCACCGATATTTCAACGTATTTGTACGGTAAACATTATTCTTGGAAGGCATGTCAAAAACACATCTTTGGGATTGCCACCGTGAGGATCCCAGATTAGTAATGCTGTATTTGACACTTTGATTTGCTACTTTTCCATCGTTAAATTTTTTTCTTGCGAATTGCTACAGCTGCAACTTCTTCACCCCATGTTTTGTGCATCTCTCATTCACATACATAACAGTTGTTCGAACCGATTACCATACTACTGGCCTTCTCTGTATTCTTTTAACTGTGCGTGGGTATCATTCAATAATCCGCTTTGTCTGCCTGTTGTCTGTCATTTTTGTTACAATAACCAACCCAGCTCTTTTTCTTGGCGCACATATTGTCTTTGTAATTCTGCTCACACCAGACCATAAATATACAGTACTTCATTGGAAATGCGCTGCAACTTGCTGACACCATGAGAGCTAATGTCAAAAGTTAATCACAGGGAAGTTTATACAATCTCGTTCAATAATCTTGGGAATATCGATGGTGCTGGTTGGAAATTTATCCATAAATAAATAGACCACATATAAATAATTACACATTGTGGACGCACACAACTCTACGGCTGCTGGGAAGCATTGAGGGGACAAAGACGACCTAATAATATATAATATGGAGGAGTGTTGCTGCTGCGGCTGCCACTCTCGGGTTGCTGGTGCTGGATTGTGAAAATTACTATCCATCCTTCACTGAGCTGCCGCCGCCGATAGACAGATACACTCAGATCGGTGGATGGATGACACACGGACAGCAACAGCAACGGTGGTGGTCACTCTGCTTTGCCTGTGTGGCCAGCCGCAACGCCTATCCAGCCAGCACAGATCGCCACTGGACACTCACATCGGTCACCGCAATCAACCGACAGACACATATCAAATGCATCTGCCAGGATGAAGGGGAAGGGGTGCCGGAGCTGTATTAAAATGTATCGCGACATGATATCTAAAATCGATCGAAGACTGTTGAAAAACCGGAATTTGGTTTGGTCTTTCTGCCTCTAAACAGAGGGTTTTTGGAAAAAAAAAAAA